ATATCGATCGATCGACTCCACTATAAGAATAACATCGTACCAAGCCTTGTAAGTTCCCGGAGGAAAAGTCAACAATTGACATCTTAGCACAATCAACTCTTGAGAAGTCACTCCTTATAAAAACAACGAAATAACCATACGTTGAATTTCCTATACTAAATTCTTGTATTTCTCTCTAGCGTTATGTTAGTCTGCACAACCTAGAAATATAGTGATTTTAACTTTTCGCCTAAGTGTGAAACGCATTGCCTAACTTGTTCCAGCAAAGCAGTAAGGACAGTAAGTAAAAACACAATATTTTTCGATGGAAAACACCCAACTCAAAAGGTGTAAAAAATCACGACATGTACCCCTACAGGATTTAACTTCAACTTCACTAAATCACTGAGCCTCCACAGAAAACAGATTACAAGCCTATGTAACCTAAGGAATTACGAACTATTATTCCCAAACTTCAACACAAACCTCTCAAGATATGTGTTCACAACTCTTCGAGTTATCACAACCTAAAGACAACACACCTAATTCAGTTTATAACTCACTGAACTAAGATTACATCAAGACTTGATCACAAAGAAAAACTCTCAACACATAAACTCTGTAAAAGTACCAGGTTCTTCGATGTGTTCCTTCAGTTTGCTGGTAGCACTTACGAAGTCAATTTTTCAATTGCTCTTTTTTCTCTGTAAGTGCACAAGTATTCTGGACGACTTCACCTCTATTTAAGCATAATTCTTCATAGAGTTATTGTTCACTTCAAACTCCTCATTGACTTGAACTCTTTTGACTTAGAGTTCTACTTCAAGTAAGACTCCTTCTTCAATTCAAACTACTTGCTTCTTTAGACTCCTTCTTCAAATTACATTCATTGATTCTTTTGTATTGTAGTCGAACTACAACTCTTCAATTAAGCAGTAACTTGAAGAGTTCTACTTCAAGTAAGACTCCTTCTTCAAGTAAAATTCCTTACCTCTTTAGACTCCTTCTTCAAATCAAACTCATTGATTTTTTTTATTCAATTCATTACTAGTTTGATTCCTTGCGTTTTGTACGAAATTATTAGTATCCATTTCTTTATTTCTGCACTCTTGTCTTTATTTATTTTAAAAGTTTTCCTGAATTCAACTGCTCGTGATAGTGTACCTTTGGACCATGTTAACTGACGTGTTTCATCTTTCTTTGTCAATCATCAAAACTGCATAAATTCTAATTAATTCCCCCTTTTTGATGATGAAAAACCTCTTGTCTTTGTGCATTCAAACACATTTTCCTGTAGACACTTAGCATGAAACACTAGAATGAAACAAGTTAGTCAATGAGCTATAAACACTGCACAACTCTTATCCCACTATTTGTTCATCAGCCTTAAGCACTCATCAAACTTGTTCGGGATAGATCGAATATATTATTAGAACCAGACCAACACAAACTATATTAACATAAGTTATTTCATTCAGTCAATTTATATATATATATATATTTCCAAGATTAGTCTCCTGGTGATGTATATAATTATGATGAACACAGGAGGTTGGGGAGACTAGACCTTAACCCACTATATACATCAGTGATTGCTTAAATAAACAATCCAGCAAAAGGAGAACGTCTAAGTAGGGGTGTACAAAATCGAACCGAAAATCGAATCAAATCGTAAATCGAGTCAAACCTAGAGAAAAAACCCGACTAGGGGTTGATTTGACTTGGTTTGGTATTGAAAAAAAAAAACCCGACTATATTTGGATTGGTTTGGTTTTAACTAAAAAAACCAACCCGAGACCAAACCAACCCGACATTATTATATAATTTTAAAATTTTATTTTATACATAAAAATATTTACTTTGATATAATTTTTAAATATTTCTTATACTTTTTCATAGTTTTTATCTTTTAATATATTATTCTAAGCTTGAAACTTAGAATTTTGAATGGTTCAATAAAGATTATAATCCACAGATGTTGGTATAATAATAAAGCTTAAATCAAAATCAAATTAATACTAATGCAAAAAGAAAATCAATTCAACACTAAGAATGACAATAATATTGAATATTTGTTCTTTAGTTTTACATAAGTTTAGACAATTAAAATACATAATCTAATTTTAATTCCTTTAATATTTAGTCATGTAACTAATACTTATTAAACTTAATTTTAGCATGATTTAGTACTTTTAAATTATGATCATTTTCATTATGACTTGTTAATTTACAATATTTGTTTATTATTTTTGTTGGATATTTTAGTGTCATTAATCATATCATATTGTGTTATATTTTTAAGAAACATCTTAGATAGTAGTATTTTGGTAAGACTACAGAAATATTTGAAGTACAAGTAAATTATATGTTGTGTATGAATACTTTACCGGAAAAACCCAAAAAAATCCGAAAATCTCGAAAAAATCCGAAAAACCCGAGGTTGAAAAACCCAAGTTTTATTGGTTTGGTTTGGTTTATAAATTTAAAAATCCGACACAAATGATTTAGTTTGATATTTGAAAAAAAATTCTGAAAAAACCCGAGGTTGAAAAACCCGAGTTTTATTGGTTTGGTTTGGTTTATAGATTTAAAAATCCGACACAAATGGTTTGGTTTGATATTTGAAAAACCCGAACCAACCCGGTCATGTACACCCCTACATTTAAGGGTGTGTTTTATCCAGAAAATGTTTTCCAATTTTTCCATGTTTGGTTGGCTTAAATATTTTGGAAAATCAACTCATTTTCCTCAAATTTAAAGAAAATGACTTCCCTTCAAAAATTAAGGAAAACATTTTCTAAAATCTACTTCATCCTTCAAAAAAATAATTCTTACCCTACCCCGCAGGGGCGGATTTACGTTGAACCCAGAGGTTCATCCGAACCCCCATCGTCGAAAAATTACTCTATATATATGATTAAATTTTTAATTTATGTGTATATATATAATATTGAACCCCCTGAACATACACCAAAGGCATAGCTCAGTGGAGTTGGGGGTTCAAGAATTCATGCTGCTGCACACGAGGTCGTGTGTTCGAATCCGGACGGAGGCAATTTTTTATCAGCTTATATTTTAGGCGTTCTATTTTTATTTTTTAAATAATAATGGAATCATAAAACGACTTTAGTTCCAAAAAATTAAAACCATGATAGGGAATTTAGGATTTATTAGTTTAATCCCTAATTACAAAGTCAAATATTAAAAAACCCTTTTCTTCTTCTAGGATTTTTCCATGTTTTATTTTTTCATCGTCTCTTCCTTGTTGTCGTGAATGTTGCTGGGCTACTGGCTGCTACTTGTCGCTGCTGCTTGCTGCTTCTGTTGGATTGATCGTTATTGAAAACTTGAAGTCTATCCGCAATCGTTTCTTTCATCTCCATTAATAACTACTTCGGTAAGTTTTTGGTTCCCTTTTTTCTTACTAGATTTCTATATACCTTATTTCGTTATTTCTTGATATGCTTTCTTTTAGTTGGCTGATTTATTGATTCATTGAACTTTCAATTTTTTTGTTTGGCTAATTTTATATATTTTCTTAATCTAAAATTGGAGAGATAGAGAAATATAATTTAATAATCAAATAACCATTGCTTAAGCTTTTTGGTTTTGGTCCTTATTGTGTGGTTAATTCTCTTAAATTCTAACTAAACTTTTACTTTACAATTCAGTCTTAATATTCAATGAATAAGTATTTTACCCCAGTATCGAAATCAAGTTTAGCCTCTCATAGTCATAGTCAATCTAACCAAGAAGAAAATGTCAATCATTCAGAAGTACCATCACATTCTTCTCCAGAATTTGATTTGAGTACTTTAAAGTTTGATCCCGGTGAAAGAACTCCAATATTGATTTATCATCCAAATCATTGTGATGTTATTAGAAGAGCATACCTTGTGAATGGTCCGTGTCAACCTCGCTTGGAGGTGCATGAGTACCCTCAAACAAATATTTCTGGAGCAATGCATCGTTTTAATCATGAATGGTTTGATGATGTATATCATGATTGGTTGGAGTATAGTGTTAGTAAAGATGCAGCCTATTGTTTGTATTGCTATCTATTTAAAGATCATAACATTAATCAAGGTGGAGGTGAAGTATTTTCATGTACATGTTTTAAGAATTGGAATAACAAGAGTGGTCTTGACAAGCATATTGGTCTGACGAATAGATCACATAATCGATCAAAAAAGAAATGTCAAGATTTACTACGACAACAATAGTCTATTCAATCTGCATTTGAGAGGCAATCTAATAAAATTAAACATGAATATTATATCCGCTTAAGTATTTCGGTTGATGTAGTAAGACTTCTCATAACTCAAAGACTCCCATTTCGAGGTCATGATGAATCTAAATCATCACTTAGTAAGGGTAATTTTCTTCAGATTCTCTCATGGTATGCAAAAAGGTGTGATAAAATTCATGATTATGTACTTGAACATGCTCCTCAAAATGATCAAATGACTTCTCCAATAATTCAAAAAGATATTATGACTGCATGCAAGATAGAAACAGTTAAAGCTATTCTCAAGGAACTAAATGGTGACTACTTTGCCTTACTAGTTGATGATTTTTTTGATATTTCACGCAAGGAGCAAATGGCTATTGTATTACGATATGTTGATAGAATGGGATTTATGATATAGCGACTTATTGATATTATTCATATTCAAGATACTAGTGCATTATCCCTAAAAGAGGCAATTGTTAATTTACTTGCTCAACATTCTTTCAGTCCATCAAGTGTGCGTGGACAATGTTACGATGGGGCAATCAATATGCAAGGTGAGGTCAATGGACTTAAAATGTTGATTAGGCAAGAAAGTAGATCGTCTCATTCTATGCATTGTTTTGCTCATCAACTTCAATTAACTTTTATTGGGGTCTCTAAAAAGTGTGTTGAAGTGGGAAAACTTGTAGTATTGGTCTCAAATATTTTTAATGTATTGGGATCTTCTTTTAAGCGTATGGATGATTTACGAGATTCTCAAAAAGCAGCAATTTAAGATGCATTAGATATGGGTGAACTGACAACCGGTAGGGGCCTGAATCAACAACTTGGTCTTTCAAGAGCTTGTGATACTCGTTGGGGATCTCATTATAAATCCTTTAACAATTTTATTCTTATGTTTGGCTCTATTCTTGAAGTTCTTGAATCACTTGCTCTTGATGCACGAAGTATGGATGAAAGAGCCAAAGCAACGGGACATCTTGAATCTTGTCGAACATTTGAGATTGCGTCGTTCATGTTGCATTTGATGAGAGATATATTAGCAATCACAAATGAGCCCAATAAATGCTTACAAGGAAAGGAGCAAAATGTTGCAAATGCCATGCTACTTGTTGAAGTAGCAAAGTAAAGGTTGCAAGTTTTAAGGTATGATGAATGGAATTCTCTTACTGTTAAGGTATCTATATTTTGTACCAAACATGAAATTTTGATACCTAACTTTGAGGAGCCATATGTTAGCTCTTTAAGATCATGGCGAAGACTTGCTCACTATACAATCTTACATCATTAACATCATTACAGTGTCGAAGTGTTTTGCAATATTATTGATTGGCAACTTCAAGAGCTTAACGATCGTTTTAATGAGGTAGCTACTAGGGGTGTACAAAATCGAACCGAAAACCGAACCAAACCGCAAACCAAGTCAAATCGGAAAAAAAAATCCGACTAGTGGTTTGGTTTGACTTAGTTTGGTATTGAAAAAAAAAACCCGACTATATTTGGGTTGGTTTGGTTTTAACTAAAAAAAACCAATCCGAGACCAAACCAACCCGACATTATATATATAATTTTAAAATTTTATTTTATACATAAAAATATTTACTTTGATATAATTTTAAAATATTTCTTATATTATTTCATAGTTTTTATCTTTTAATATATTATTTCAAGTTTGAAACTTAGAATTATGAATGATTTTTCTTAAGAAACACCTTAGATAATTGTATTTTGGTTGGACTAAAGAATATTTGGAGCACAAGTTAATTATATGTTTGTATGCAAACTTTACTGAAAAGATCCAAAAATCTGAAAAAATCCGACGTTATTAGTTTGGTTTGATTTATAAATTTAAAAATTCGACACAATGGTTTGGTTTGGTATTTGAAAAACCCGAACCAACCCGAGGTTAAAAAACCCGAAAAAATCCGAATTTTATTAGTTTGGTTTGGTTTATAAATTTAAAATTTTTACACAAATGGTTTGGTTTGATTTTTGAAAAACCCGAACCAACCTGGTCATGTACACCCCTAGTAGCTACTAATTTGCTCCATGGAATTGCTTGTTTGAATCCAATTAACTCGTTTTCAAGTTTTGACAGCAAAACAATAATGAGGATGACTGAATTATATCCAGATGATTTTGATGAATTTAATATGGATACTCTTGAGAATCAACTTGCAAGTTACATTGTTGATGTTCGTGATGTTGATGAAAGGTTCTCTGATCTAAATGGACTTTGTGATCTTTCCAAAAGATTAGTCCAAACAAAAAAACATTCAAATTATCCTCTGGTTTTCCGCTTAGTGAAACTTGCTCTACTTCTACCAATGGCCACTGCATCCGTTGAAAGAGCTTTCTCGGCAATGAAGTTTATCAAAAATGACTTGCGAAGTCAAATGAGTGATGGTTTTTTTAGTGGTTGTTTGGTGCCTTTTGTAGAAAAAGATGTATTTGATAGTATTCCTAATGATGTTATTATTAAGACATTTCAAGATATGAAACCTCGTAGAGTACAATTGTAATGATTTATTTAAGTTTTTAGATATATGTGCCCTAAATTAATTATTTTTTATCCGACACATTTGTATCCGATTCGACCCATTTATTTGTGGATATTATTTACGTGATTAATTTTTTTTGAACCCCCTTGATGAAAATCCTCCCTCTGCCACTACTACCCTGTACCCCACCCTTCCCATCAAAAATAAAATTAACTTATTAAATTTTCTTATTTTTTAACTTCCAAATATTTTTTTACCCCTACCCCCAAACCAGCCCCCCTCCCCCAAAACAAAAAT